CTGGATTGGAAATTGTATATCTCTGCTTGCTGTTTGGTCTGGATGAAAGAATGGATGTTGCTGGGAAACAAGAGACATTTAGAGCTAGAAGAACATGATCTGATGTTTGGACAGCATAGATATTTATAGTACAATATGTGGATTTCAAAAAGCCTTTTATTGGAGATGCAACATTGAGAATATGGAATAGATATCAACCCAGGTTGTGCCCAAAAAGACGCTTATGGACCTCAGCTCAAGAAGCATATCATGGAAGAGAAACAATAGACAGACAAATGGTTGATGTACCAGGGATTATTGGAAAGCCATCAAGGGGAATTTAAAGTTAAATCAAGAGAGTAATTAATAAAAGAATGATATAGTTGTCAATGGTTTTCCCATTTACAGTTAGCAGAAAGATTCAAAATGGACATATATATACCATATATATATGGTATGGAGTAAAGTAAGACAGAATTTGAAATAAAGTTGTGCAGTGATGATGAATATGTCATTGCTAAATTTGATAAACTTTTACTGAAATTTGAAACAGAGGAAGAACAGGTTAAAGAATGTATGATAAAATGGGATGAGAATTTTGGTTATAATATACAGTGGATCAATGGGAAAATATTTGGTTATTGAAAAATGACCCAATTTAAATGTCAGAAAGTGTATCATCCCTTTACAGGGATATCAGGAATTATGACACAATATGAGAAGTGCTCCATTTAAAATGGAATCTTGATTTTCAAAATGGGTAATCAGACTTTTTGACAAAAAGACACAATATAGATGGATGGATGGAGATGGAGATGGAGATGGAGATGGAGATGGAGATGGAGATGAATACAAATTCAAGAGTGGAAATACCATTAGCCACCTCTTCTACATGGATGACATCAAGCTGCATGCTAAGATTGAACAAGACATCAGTTTGCTGATCCAGCAGACATGGATGTACAGCAAGGACATTGGGATGTCATTCCAACTAGATAAACGTGGCTGGATAGTAGTAAAGAGAGGGAAGTTAGCTAAGACTGATAGGGTGGGACTACCAGTGGGTGACATAGAAGACAAAAAGACCAGCTACAAGTATCTTGGTGTCCCACCATCACATGGGAACCACAATGAGGAGGCAGGGAAGATAGCAAGATTGAAGTATCAACAAAGGGTAAGACAGGTCCTGGAA